TTTCTTCTTCTTCTTCTTCTTCTTCTTCTTCTTCTTCTTCTTCTTCTTCTTCTTCTTCTTCTTCTTCTTCTTCTCAACCTTTCTTGTAAATAGACTTTGCTTCTCTCCCCGTTCTGCAATGATACACCCTGTCTCTTGGTCATTCTTCTTATTAAAATTTGTCACCCAAACAAAAGCTACCTCTCACTTGTCCCACTGCACTTGTAAAAGAAAAATAATAAAACGACACAGTTTAAGACACCCCCCCCCCTTCCTCCTGTCTAAGGAGCTACTTCTCAACGTTTTAGACAATTTCAACTGTTTTTATTTATCAGCCTTTTCCTTCGTCCAGGTCTGGTGGCTATGGCAACGGAGGTAGCTCTTATGGCATCCTGCAGTGTAACTCCAAGACCACAAGTCTGGACTGTGACAAGTACGCTTGGGACAGCTGTCAGCACATTAATTTTATGGTAATGTCTGACACGCTCGAATATGTAACCTCCCTCTGCGTGTCTGTGTGTCTGCGTGTCTGTATGTCTGCGTGTCTGTGTGTCTGCGTGTCTGTGTGTCTGTGTGTGCTTGTTCCAATTCCCAGAACGCAGAACAGCACATGCATTAATATGTTGCTGCCATTTGGCATAAAAAATGATATCAGAAAAGAGGAGCGCTAATCATTACCTCAGTGTGAAAAAAGACAGGTGAGGGTGATTATTCACAGCGTCTAGAATCGACAAGCACTTTGTGTCTCTTCCAATCTCCGTCACAGAAGTGATCAGAATGTTTACCTTTCTGCTTGCAATTGCTTGTTGCTGGAGTGTCACTCAAGGTAAGCTTTGATTGCTATTTTATTTGGTTTTAATCTACTAGTAATAAATGTAACTTTTGAGAACTCTGATCGATAAGACACACATACACACACACACGCACATACACACACACACACACACACACACACACACACACACACACACACACACACACACAGACAGACACTCACATTAAGGAGGCGAACTTCAAAACCTTCCTATCAGCGCCAATCCAGCCTGAGAGTGAGGTCGATATCGATACAGCATCCACGTAGAAAGACCGATTGAGATACTCGATAAAAATTATCTCCTCCCTACTTGGGAATCGAACTTGGGTCTCATTTGGCCTACAGCGAAGCGTCTAACTGTTACACCACATACGACTGTACCTAGTTTCTTAACTCCAGGAATTGCCGGATTTGTGGAACGGAAGTGCTGCATAAAAACACCGCCAATTGACAAAAAATAGAAGCAGACATTAAAACCAAGATAAGCTTTGCGTCTCACTAATTTTTTTATTAATGAGGTAGACAAAAATGTAAATTAGAACCTACGTCAAAGATAGTGCATGTCTCCAGCATGGAAGCAAAGTCGAACCTGTCTTAGACAACCATCTATTCCTGTAAAGGAAAGTGGTCTTCTTAGGCAGGTGATCTTCTTTGGAAGTATCACTGTCAGTATAACGTTAAAACATTCAAAGCAGGATGTGAGAAGCGGCTGCATGTACAGGTGATTGTCTTCGACAGGTGGTCGTTAGAGCAAGTTCAACTGTATGCCATCAATGTTCTTCTGATGTTTTGACCAGTAGTTATAGTTACTATTGACACAATTCAAGTGTGCATTATATATAATAGAATTGTTCAAAGTAAAAACATTGTCAAAACGTCTGAGGTTTAAAAAACAAATACCGTATCAAATGAAATGGCAGTCACCATCTTTTTTTTTCAAAATAGTTGCTGAAAGCTAGAAAATATCATCTCTTTGTTTGCTTTCATCAAATTCCAAAAGTTGTCAATTAATTTATTCTAACTGATATTTTCCCTAAATGAATGGAACTTTAGACATTAAATTGAATTTTTTTCTTCCGATATCGGATAACCTTGTTACAAGGTGAAAGGGGCAAAATGTCAAGAATGTCTACCAAACTTATAAGGTGGAGAGACTTAAAATGTTTTTTGCCATAGTCGCCAGTGATATAGAAGAGTTAGCTCTTGCTTTAGTAAGAATTTTACGGCACTTCCAACACAAATAGGTTTAAAAAAAAGTACCGAAGATTAGAAGCGTTGGATTGAGTCAATACTTGTTGAGCCTAATAGTTTGTGGAATGTTATAACTATGGCGGTTGTTTTTTTTTTGGTGTTTTTTTTTGGGGGGGGTTGGTGGGAGGAGTCTTAGACCTGTATTGCAATATCCAAGACTGGTCATCTCTGAATCTGACACACACACAATTCCGGCTCACTATAATGTGGCTCTCCATTACTCTGACTCTATATGGAGCCAAGTAAGGTGTAAAGAGGGAAAGTTTACCCTCACACTCGACTCTTTATAGTGAGACTTGTGTTTTGCCGTTCTCTTGCGCGTCCATGATCCGCACTAGCCAGCAAAACTTAGTTCTAATTTTTAGAGAGCAAAGAGTGGCGGCCATGACAGTGCTTAGTTTAGGAAATTCATACTTAAAGTTTATAGGGAAAGGGGGGAGGGGAGTATGTGAAGTAATTATTAACCCTTTCACATTCAGGCCTGTTCTATAATCATGCCGAGGAGCCCAAGATAGTCTTAGTCTTGTCAGTGAAAGAGTTAAAGATAAATACACCGTCGTAATTATTCAAGACGGCTAGCCATTGTCGATGAGAAGAGATGAAGATGAGGTGGACGTCTTAAACAAAGTCATAATTAAGCCCCAAAAATGCAAAAGGTATGGGGGTGGGGTGGGAGGGGTGTGCAAAGTGGTAGTTTGTGACTGTATTTTACAGATGCCGTAATTAGAGCTCATCAGGTTCAATTCTATACATGGGACAGTAAAATAATAATGATACAATATTTCTAATAGTCATTTGTTGCGTGTAACCTCCAGGCACCAACTTCACGTGTCATGGTGACGTCACGGCCCTCACTGTGACCGGGGCCAGTGCATCCACGGCCAGTCAGGACGGACTGTCGGGGGGAGTGACCGCCTCCTACAAGATGCTCGACAAGGACTACGCGGTAATGGCTGTACAGTTCTCATTGTTGCCTCTTTTAGTTTGATTTTACTATGATATAATATAATATACGAAGTGTATACAGACCCGGTAACCGGGAACAAAGTCACGAAGTATACAGACCCGGTAGGGGAA